ATGTCATTCATTCCGTAATGCTTTTATGTGGCTATTTTCTTTTGTGTGAGTAAAAAGAACAAAAGAGAGAACAATAGAGTAGCCACATTATTACTCTCCTGTTAGAACTTCCGGCTGTCCGTCCGTTCTCTTTTTGTGTCACACATAGCTAAAAAAATAATTGACCTAGAGTTATGAAACCTTACAGGAATGTTGATCAGCATGTGAAGTTGTGCACCTGGGTATTTTCATGTGGATGTATTTAGTAGAGTTATTGCCCTTGACTTAGTAAAAATTTCCAATTTTCAACTTGTGTCGCAGGTAACTAAACAAGTATTTGACCTAGAGTCATGAAACCTTACAACAATGTTGCTCAGCATGTGTAGTTGTGCACCTGGTATTTTCGTGTGAATATTTTTTGTAGTTTTAGAGTTATTGCCCTTGACTTAGTAAAAATTTACATTATTCAACTTGTGTTCAACTCAAAAAGTATTTGACCTGTGGGCCTGAAAGTTTACAAGAATGTTGATCAGCATGTGTACTTATGCACCCTTGGGTTTTCTTGTGGATTTATTCAGTATTTGTAGTATTTGCCCTTTACTTAATAAAATATTTTCAGTTTTCAATTTGGGCACATGTAGCCAAAAAAAATTTGACCTAGAGACATAAGATTGACAAATCAGTGGAGTGTAGGGGCACCCCTATCCTATGGACACATTTTTAGTTTGTTTTTGTATTATTTTATATACATATGTATAGTGCAATTTAACTGGGATTGTGATGATTGTTATTATAAGATGATTTGTCTATAAGTTAACCCATATCATGCTAATAATTTTAAATGGACTTGCCCATCTTACAATATGGACTAGTCTATTCTTCATTTTTAGGTAAAATTTCAAAATATTTACTGACTGAAAAGTACAGACCATGATTAGATGGCATGAATATGCCAGCTCATCCTGGGATGTGTAAAATATGTTGCCACTTGCAAGCAAAGGATCAGTGATGTTATTTTTATGTATTTTTGTTAAACATATTTTATTCTCATAAGTATACATATATTTATAACATACATTTTTACATATGTGCATTCAACAATTAAATATTTTTACATACAAGTAAGGAAAATATGAGAACTATTATAATGACTGTGTTGAAATTAACATATGGGTAATGCTCAAACTTTCCTCATCTCATTTCTTGTATCTGAGTATTTCTTGTATGGAGGTAAGTCGTGGTGTTGCTTCATAAATTTGCTCTTAGTCATCCTATTATCTTGTTATATGAACTCCTTTTTACTATGCCTTTCACTCAATAGTGACCAGTGCAAACCATGATCAGATAGAACAGATGTGCTGGCTGATCATCATGTCTGATCCATTGGTAGAATCTGTTGCTGCCTGCAAGGTTAGGGTAGAGTAAATGTCAGGACCTATTTGATTCTTGCATGATTGTTAATCGAAATCAGATGTTTTGCACATGAGATTTTAGTTTTATTTAGAAACAACAGATTAATAGCCTTTGACTTGATCAAATTTAAGGCCCTGTACCAGAAGTAAATATCAGAATATACTGGCTTTGCACCAATGTTAACTAAGATACTAAGACGGTGAGGGAGTTGTGTTCAGTGGATACTGTTGTTATTCTTTGCCTTGTTACGTTTATAAGTTATACCATATGAAATATAAAAAAATGAGTTTTAACCAATAGTCTTTTCAGTCTCTGCAGTTTATTTATTAGCTCACCTGTCACAAAGTGACAGGGTGAGCTTTTGTGATCGCTTTTCGTCCGGCGTCCGTCCGTCCGTCGTCCGTCCGTCGTCCGTCCGTCCGTAAACTTTTGCTTTACATGACATCTCCTCATAAACCACTGAGCCAATTTCATCCAAACTTCACAGGAATGTTCCTTTGGTGGTCACCTTTAAAAATTGTTCAAAGAATTTAATTCCATGCAGAACTCTGGTTGCCATGGCAACCGAAAGAAAAATCTTTAAATATCTTCTTTTAAACAACCCTAAGAGCTAGAGCTTAGATATTTGGCATGAAACATCTTCTAGTGAGTGTCTACCAAGTTTGTTCAAATAAAAGCCCTGGGGTCAAAATTGGCCCCGCCCCAGGGGGTCATTGATTTTCCCTATATGCATATAGTAAAAACTTAAAAAATCTTCTTTTAAAGAACCCAAAGAGCTAGAGCTAAGATATTTGGCATGAAACATCTTCTAGTGAGTGTCTACCAAGTTTGTTCAAATAAAAGCCCTAGGGTCAAAATTGGCCCCGCCCCGGGGGGTCATTGATTTTCCCTATATGCATATAGTAAAAACTTAAAAAATCTTCTTTTAAAGAACCGTAAGAGCTAGAGCTTTGATATTTGGCATGAAACATCTTCTAGTGAATGTCTACCAAGTTTGTTCAAATAAAAGCCCTGGGGTCAAAATTGGCCCCGCCCCAGGGGGTCATTGATTTTCCCTATATGCATATAGTAAAAACTTAAAAAATCTTCTTTTAAAGAACCATAAGAGCTAGAGCTTAGATATTTGGCATGAAACATCTTCTAGTGAATGTCTACCAAGTTTGTTCAAATAAAAGCCCTGGGGTCAAAATTGACCCCGCCCAAGGGGGTCATAGATTTTCCCTATATGCATATAGTAAAAACTTAAAAAATCTTCTTTTAAAGAACCCAAAGAGCTAGAGCTAAGATATTTAGCATGAAACATCTTCTAATGAGTGTCTACCAAGTTTGTTCAAATAAAAGCCCTGGGGTCAAAATTGGCCCCGCCCCGGGGGGTCATTGATTTTCCCTATATGCATATAGTAAAAACTTAAAAAATCTTCTTTTAAAGAACTCAAAGAGCTAGAGCTAAGATATTTAGCATGAAACATGTTCTAATGGGTGTCTACCAAGTATGTTCAAATAAAAGCCCTGGGGTCAAAACTGGCCCCGCCCGGGGGGGGGGGTCATTGATTTTCCTTATAAGTGTATAGCAAAAACTTAAAAATCTTCTTTGAAAAAACCCAAATAGCTAGAGTTTAGATATTAAGCATGAAACATCTTTAAGTAAATATCTACAAAGTTTGTTCAAATAAAAGCCCGGGGTCAAAACTGGCCCTGCCCCAGGGGTGTCATTGTTTTTTACTATATGTGTATAGTAAAAACTTTAAAAATCTTCTTTTAAAAAACCCAATGAGCTAGAACTTAGATGTTTAGCATGAAACATCTTCTTATGGGTGTCTACCAAGTCTGTTCAAATAAACAAATATAAACCCTTGGGTAAAAATTGGCCCGGGGGTGGGGGGGGGGCTATATACAGGTGAGCGACCTCAGGGCCATCATGGCCCTCTTGTTTATTTTCATTAAGCTTTTTATTGTTGATATTCTACAATGTTTTAATTTCAAGTTTGTGATATTTTAGGATAACAAATATAAAAAAGTTAAATGTTCACTTATCTTTGTGTTTATTTTTTCATCTCTATAGAGGAAATACGTAGTCTATAGAATTTGAAAACTTTTTTAATGCCATACCTGTTGGTATTGTTTTCTAATTTACTAAAGAGACTAGTGTCAGCTATGGAATATCGAGTTCATAGATTTTGAATACATGTTGATCAGAATAATGGAACCTCTAAACTACAAACAGAGAACAATTATTTATCACTTATTAGACTTCTTGTGTGAAAATACAATTCCCAGAGCTGAGGTTTTTGGCATGTAGGATTGCCTTGTGGACCTCTGCAAAAATTATGAAAATTAAAGCCCTTGGTTTAAAATTGGCTCCAACCACTGTGCTTATATAGACTTAGATACATGTAGTTAAACACATTAAGATTTTAGTTTATACAGAATTTAATTTACTTTGATTCTATAGGAAGCTTTAAGCTAAATATAGGCACACTTTCGAATCTGTTTCTGTAACCAAACAGTACTTAGCAATGAGTGTAAAGTTTCTTGCTCAAGGAAACAACGACTTGCCCCTGATGGGGTTTGAACTCACAATTAAAGTTCCAGAGATCCTTAGATTACAAGTCTAACATATTTACCACTTGGCAACTCCACCTTTTACCCACACGGCCATTTAGGTTTTGTGTAAAGAACATAGATATTTGGCATGCCTAGCAGACATCTACAAAATTATAAAATATGCAGATCTATTCAGGGTAAAAAAAAGGCACACCATATGTGACTTTATTACTTACTGTTATGATATCAAGATTAGATAACTCTTTACATGTTTAGTTGTACAGTTAATGGGATTACTTCCCTTTACTTGATATTCATTAATGCTATGTTATATATATGATCATGCCTCTCTGATACCTGGGCAATTCACACTTGAGCTCTGGCCCGGCTTTCACTAACGTTCTCAAACTGAGATAAATCTCAACTTACGATTGTCTTAATATGGTTATAATAAATAGTAGAATAGTTTGAATCTAAATGTTATCATCCATACAACATAACACTTACTTCCTCATTGTGACTTTGTCTAGCAATGTTTTTCAGTTAAGCAATTCATGGCCATCACGTCCTTAGCATGTAAGTAATAATTAGATTTATTTATCATCAAATAATCTCAAATGTAATTTTTAACAGAAAAAAAGATTAGGATAAAGACACATGGCCACTTCACCTGCATGATATTTCCAAAGAAAATTAAATTGAAATAATGACAGCATGATAATAAACTCTAAGCTATCATAGAATATTTTCCAAACTACCTGTTTTGATAAGCTTACATGGATAAGCTTACATGTACAGACTCAATCAAATCAAGCAATTTTCATGTAATTTTGTAGTGATTAATGCTTCAGAAGGATCACCCTTCATGATGTTTTTAAAATGCAACATTTGACTCTTAATATGAATTGTGTTCAATGAATTTAAGGTGTCTGGTTTTTTTCCAGTTTGTGTATTTTGGGATCTTAAATATCGTGCATGTTATATGTAGTACGTCGACGATAAAAACATTGATATTGAGCATTTAAGCTTTCTGTCTGTAGTATCTTAGAGCCTCAAATATAGTGGCGTGACACCCAAACATTTAGGCGGTCTTAACCTATGCAGAAGTAGTTATTCTAATTATTTCCGAAATAATGTCAAATTCTACGAATATATTTGATGATGACGATGTTATGATAATCGAGGATGATTCAGACGATGAAGCTTCTAATGACTACACAGCTGGCTCAACATCTGCTGACCAAAAGGTAAAAGAAAAACCGAAAATATAGAATTGTAATATATTTTCGCGACATAAACAAACATCTATTTTAAACAAAGATATAAACATTCTTTGAAATATCATTATTTATAGTAATAAGATAAAAGTTAATTGAAATGAAGCAAACATTGTATCAGTTATTCAAAGGAAAGTAGTGCGGGGCTGATAATTAATTAGAAATAACGGACTGATAAGTGCTCTACAGTTCTAGAAGTCTAGATCTAGACAATACAGTGTGTCTCGGCTAGCCGTATGTGACTCATATACGGCTAGGACTTTTGGCTAGCCATAAGGGCCCGTACGGCTTTCCGATATTTTTATCTTATGTTGACACCAGAAAAAATCACTTAAGGTTTTATGCTGCAGCACGGATTTATATTACAAGGATCGGACACTTTCGTTTAGCTTAAAGTCCCGTCGCGTGCATGCGCGGAATCGGGTAAAGGTTGACAGAATGAGATGGCGGAACGTGCGGAGTACGAAATATGACAGATTTTCACCGGAGTATGTGGTGTTATTGCAGCTTTATGAAAAATTATACACATATGAATGTATTGATACAGTATTATTTTGTGTCGCTAAAGTATTATAATATGAAAATATGCTGATAGAACGCTGCAACGCTTAGTTAAAAAGTACCTAATTTAAAAAATATTCGCCTATTGTTTAGGCATACTCTCTACACTTCGCCGCCCTTTTACTTCAAGCACGAATTATTACCGCGATTCAGAATAAGATAATTATTTTTTACATGGTTTCATGATGGCATTGCAAAAAAAAGTTTCTTGATTGCTAAAAAACTTTTAAAGAAATTCATGTTTGAAATGTGTCTTTATTTCTGTGAATTATTTCCAAATGATTTGTACATTTTTTATTTGATTACCTGTATAATTTATTAGTATAAATAGTAAATATTCTACTAATAAGTGTATTAAATATATTTTCAGATCATTCTAGACAAGCATTCCTATATAGATGAATTCATTAGATTGGCAAGGAAGAAACTTTTATTGGCATAGAGAACACCTGTTTTATAATATTATTTTTTATTTTGAAAAATAATTTTTTCATAGATATCCTAAACAATTCACGTCAAATGATTTATTTATCACATGTTTATTTTCATTATTTTTCAGAGAAATTTAGTTGTATATTTTCAATTTCATTTATAAATGTTAATAAAGAAAATAGATTTACATTGTATTTATATATATCCTCTTCAGAATCATTTTCTTACCACATATGCCATGGACTGTAGTTAAAGACCGCGCATATACAAAATATACATTCAAATTATATTTGTTTTTGAAGATTGAGTGTTGCAATTATCACATGTAACCTTGTAATGAAAGTTTGGAAATAAAGTTTTTTAATTATCACTTACCCCCCTTCAAACGTAATTAAACTTGAAAGAAATTTAAGCGATGTGTAAAAAATAATCAACAGTTACTTTTATTTCGCAAAATACTGACTCAAACTGTAAAGATTTTTATTGTTTTTCTACCGTTACATTAAAAAGTATAATAAATATCTTTCTACAGGCATTCAAATAAAAAGAATAATTAAAATATACGGATTAAAATATACGAGTGACATTAAAAAGGCCGGATTCGAGACAGCCACATGAGAGAACTTAACTGTTACGATGATTGTCTACTTCACTGCACCGACATTTGAAAACAGATTTACAAAAAATAATAATGATACAAATGATGAATGAAATTTAAATATTCTATGAATATGGCAATATTGACAATCTCGGCAATATTTACAACTAAAAAATGAATAAATTTTCTTCACGTGTAAAGGCCGCAATACATAATTACCCGTAAAACAATTGTGCGTTAATAAATTTGACTACATAACCCAATAAATCTTAAATATTTTGCATCTTTGATCATCTTACATCGGCTTCTTTTTTGTTTTGAAACTGAAAATATAATGGTACCGTAATAATAAATTTCAAATACCTGCTTTTTATATAAAAAATGTAAATTTACCGCGGATTTCGTCAAGTTAATTTTTTAACCGTCGTTGCGGACAGATAAGCTGTACCTTTAAAAAATAAATTAGATATTTGAATTAACCAAGTATTTTTCTTCAAAATAAACTTTAAATTTCCAAAATCGGATAATAAATGAAAAAGCTATATGGTATTTTGTAAAGTAGGTATCCGTTGCGAACGGGCAGTTACGCTTCGCGCCGGTAAATTATCGATCGATGTACCTTTATCGGGTGCACGACAAGATATTTAAGCATTTATATAGGGTTAACTGGGAGTGTCCGATCCCTGTAATATAAATCCGTGGCTGCAGAACTAATAATTTGGGGCCATTGGCGTGTGAAAGCAGGAACCCTTGGCAAACCGATTATGTGTTAAAGCATATTATAAGTATTAAGGTCACAATCTTTAGAAGTACCAAACCAAAGGTTATAAAAGCCCTGTTATAAATAGTAAACATGTAGCTTATCTCACCCCCTTGGGGGGTGCATTTAAGAGAAGGCACTGTAGGGCATGAAGAACTTGGTTCATGGATCAGACTTCCCGAAATACGTCGGTCCGACGGACATGTCCGATAAATTTTGAACAGGTCCGACAATTTTTTATTCCGGATCGGTCCGACTGTCCGGCTTTTATCCAAGCCGCATGTATACAAAATGGCGTTGCTAAAGGTGCCAAACCTTGGAAAAAACGAAAATCTACGTAGAGTGCGCAGAACAGCAATAAAAGGATGAAAAGAATAGACCTGAGACAAATTTTAATGAAAAATGGAAGAAGAACCATGAATCATTGGTGTATGACAGGGAGGAAATGAAAATGCGCTGTACGGATTGTGCCGATTTTTACGGCGAAAAAATAAAAAACAAAAAGTGTCTTAGAAATACAACCGCAACCACAAGTTTTTCATTGATTTTGATCAATTTTATTTGGTCCGACAGATTTTGTTTCGGTCCGACAGATTTTCATGGTTTGTCAGACCGAATGTCTGACAGTTTTTTTCAACTTTCGGGAAGTCTGATGGATGACGAAAAATAAAGACCAGGCGAAAAATAAGGACCAGAACTTGGACCTACAGACTGGTCAGGTGTAAAAGCCCGGCCCTTTGCTTGGCACCAAGAGCTCTTTTCAGGGCTACTTTCTTTTTATATATGTCTCAGGTTACTGTATATTAAGGCTCTCATTCGCGGCTGTACAGTGACCTACTATTTGCTCAAATTTCATACCGGTGAATACTCTTTGGAAATTGAATGGAGGCAAATTATAACCACATTGTGGTTCAAAATTAACTCTTTAAGGGCAAGACTAGTGACATGTTCGGGGTCTGTACGCAGCGAAAACTGTTTTTTTTACAGGCGGATCGACCCTCATTAAACTAATAAGAATACATACCTATATACATACATGCAAACATTTAGTTTCAAAATTTTGTTATTGTCTTTGAGACCTCTGTGAATTTTAACATTAATATTACAAGGAAATTTGCGAGTATTAGATACCACAGTCATTCCTATGTTTTCCTTTTAATCTTTTTTGTTTCAGGTTGAGTCAGAAGATGGCATTCAATGTAGAAATCCATGGCATGATAAATGGGGTGGATGTGATTCACAGTTGAAATATCCTTCTCAGATACCAAAAATGGCACAGTTTATATTTCAACTTCTCGGATATGAACCGGCTTCTAGCAAGAATAAGAAACGGGCAAAGTTTTGCGGGACATGTATATCAAGAGCCAATAACCTTACTGTGGATGAATTTAAAGATTTAGAAGCCCAAGCCAAACAGAAATGGGTAAATTTGACAATGTTTCAGAAGTAGTTTTACTGATTTCTTTTTCCTATGATAACTTGCATTTTCTGGCTTTTCTACTTTGGCATCAATTCTAAATTAGACTTTATTATAGTTTATAGAAACATTTGTAACTTTTTTTTGTTATTTTGACAACAGGATTTGTGAATGTTAGCATTGTGTCTTGCATGACCTGTGTTCATAAACCAATAAAAAAGTGCATGTTACATCATGTGTACTTAATTGAATAAGTTATTTTGTAATAATTTGTCAAAGGTGCCATTTTTTTCCGTCCATTTTTATGCATATCAAGGTATCATAGGCTATTTTGCACATCAAGGTGCCCTAGGCTAATTTTGCACATCAAGGTATCATAGGCTAATTTTGCACATCAAGGTGCCATAGGCTATTTTTCATAGGCTAATTTTGCACATCAAGGTGCCATAGGCTACTTTGCACAACAAGGTGCCATAGGCTTATTTTGCACATCAAGGTGCCATAGGCTATTTTGCACAACAAGGTGCCTTATGCTTTGTCTTTTTGAGCATCAAGGGTTGATAGGCTAATTTTGCCAGTCAAGGTGCAATAGGCTTTATTTTCTTTTGTGACTCAAGCCTTTCAAGGTGCTGAGGCTAGATTTGTGCATTGAGGTGCCATAGGCTACTTTCACACGTGAAGGTGCCATGGGTAATTTTTGAAGCTGGCATTCAAGGTGTTAAGTGATTTCTATATCAGAACAATAATGCTTATCATTAAAAGCAAGTGTTGTTAGACTGCATGGAATTGTAAGTTGGTCTTAATTTATCATTCAGGTGGCATGGATAAATGACTTAACATTATCATCTTTATAATAATGCATGGAAGAGCACCTGAGGTCTTCCTCCACCAGTAAAGCTGGAACATCACCATATGACCTATAATGTGTCCGTGTGACGTAAAACCTAAACAAACAAACAAACAAAAATCATCTTTATAATCTGTTAAACAGTAAACTGAATACATAAATATAACAGCTATTCAGCTGTCTCCATTGCTTACGCTTATCTTTTCAAATTTGTATCAATTAAAGTTTCAGTAAAAGAGAGTTTAAAGGTTATTATGTACAGTACTAAAAATTCTCAATATGGTATCTACTGTCAGCTTACCATTATAATGGGCTGGAAAAAACTTTTACAATATAACACACCTGCATCTGAACTGTGCTAGATTTTAAAATGCCTGCTTATTTTATTAGATCATGAAAATCAGGTGTTCCCAATGTAAGGACACTTGTTATAACCAAGTCAGCTATAAATGGTCTTTACTGAAATTACTGTTATATGTCCATATCTTTTGATATAATATTCACGATGAAGTGGGACTTTAAGTAACATATTAATGATAATGTTACACTAATTTACTAACTTTTGCTCTATGTTTTGATTTGGAAGGCATGCTGCTTTAAACTACTGAAGATTTATTTGGAATATTAATATTTTTTTTGTTTTAATGCAAATTAATGGAAGTTTTCTCAAATTGAAGAGAAGACATACAGTGTTTAAAAATTAGGGTATGAAACCAAATTGTTTTTTCTTCTAAATGACAGGTGGAAAGACATGTTTGTCATATTTATTACTTACAAAAATAAATGAAAATATAATTATATGATTTGATAAAAACTTACATAAACATTTACTTGTAGTCATGATCAAGATGTAATTATTATAAATTAATTTTGGACACAGGGCTATGGTGGTATATTTTATGTGTGTTACAGGGGAACCAGTACAATACAGATGCAAATAAAGATTCTGGAAACCAGCAGAAATCTACTGTAGTAATAACTTTTTTTCTTTGATTTATATCTTTTCTTGTTAAAATATGATTTCAAATTGATTTGCTGTTTCTTCATAAGATTAAGAAATCTTGAAAATTTATCATCTGTAATTAGGGATGTCATGTTTAAACTGGTATGGTCGGTTTTAGCTAAAATTTCGGTTCAGAAACTCAATAACCAAGGTTAGTATAAGAAAGATACTGAACATGTTTTGAGTGCAAGACTGGTCAAGTCTTTATATTAATATAAAGGTTTTCTTCAAAACGTTGATAAGCCCTCACACTCTTATGTTACCTTCAAGATTATTTATTGATGTGTTGAAAAATCACTTCAAAGGGAAGGAATCCTCTAAAGAGCATTATTCTAAATACAAGTATATATGTTTTGATTATCTCCCTTTATCTACAATAATATTTGAAGTGACAGGTTAAATCCATGGTACAAATTGAACATCTGTTATCATGTAGATCTATATTTCTAAAACCAATTTTACAATAAACTAATAATAGCAAGAGCTGTAACTTACAGCCTGTAAAAGAATAATAAATACTATCTGCAAGACCTAAGTATAAGTCATATTGCTTAAGTCATGAGTTTCTTTCACCAAATTTATATAGTTGATGGAATTCAGGTACCTGATTAACAGTGAACTTGCATTTTGATTTGACTGTTATTTTATAGCTTTTGATAAATTCTTGCCCTTTGTAAGTGCTTTTAATGTCCCTTTAATTTACTGCATTTAATTTATAACTAGCCTGCATGGCCTTTTAAAGCTTTGCTTAAAATATCTATGGGCTTACACTGCTTAAGCTTTAGATTTGACACAATTATTACTGTATATCAATCTGTGCTAGAGAACTGTGTAGTCAACAGAACAAGTTGTATTGTAAGACGACCAAGTAAATAATCACATGTATCACATATAGGAATTGAAATCTTATTTTTGAAAGCTTTCAAAACTAGCTTAAGGCAGGTCTAACATTTTGCTGGCTAGAGGAAGAGCCTTAATATAATTGTGTATATTTGGTGGCCAGTAAAGAATGATGCGATATATATGATTAAAACAATGTTTTTAAGTGTCTATAGAACTTGAAAATTTAGTTGAATAATTACTATATTAGAACTGATCTTTTTTAGTTTGATATTAAATTGATATGAAAAAAAAGAAAAGAAAAAGAACAAAAAATATTTCATAAAATTTGATGTATATATGAATGTTCAGATGCTTATGTTTGACTTCAAGTCTTGTTGTTGTTAAATCAAATTGAAACCCCTCATACTAATGTCAGGAAAGTGATGTACAAACTTAATAAATATGTCGCCATAAAATACTGTACACTTCAGTGATTTCCGCTGCAACTCAAAATATATTTTTGTAGGTAATCAGAAAAGGAAAAGCAAATTTGTTCTGAATTCTAATAATTATTTCAATATATTATACATATTTGAAACATTGAGATTATAATAAACTAAGTGCCCAATCACAAACTTCACCCTCTGATTGGTTTATTAGACTGAAGATATCTGACTTCAAAATTGAAAATGGCCAATAATTGTTGAAATATATTTTAAAAATGATCAATATGGCTGTTAGTCAGAATTTATATGAAGACTTTAGCCAAAAATTTGAATCAGATTCAATCTTAAATGAAAAAATACAATCATTTCAAACATTGTTTCATATTACTCAGTTGATATTGTAGGACATAGAACTTTGTGTTTATATTGTTGCATGGAATAGAAACTATGTAGATTGGTACTATGTTTTCATGTCCTGTGATTTCATGTAGCTAATTCTTCCCAGTGTTAGATGTAGCCATTGTATTTTTCAGTCTCGTAGGCAGTCCGAAAATTCTCACATTCAGGCACAACTTGAAAAACTGGATAAAATGGACATAAGCGATGATGAGAAGGTATACTATACTAAGTTAATTTAATGTGTTTTTATCCTTTTATAGCCAAGTGGCTGAGTGGTAAAAGGCTTATGTTCGGTTAACTCGCGGTCTTGTTCACCAAAGCTTTCAAGTCACCTAATGACCTTTAAAGTACCATTATAACTTGTGATACAAGTCATGCAAAATCTTATTTGGATTTATTGCTAATATTACATTTAAAATTGTATCCACTAAAATGACAAAACAAGAAAAAAAACCCAAAGAAAGCCAACATACAAATTAAAATATCTTGTGCTTGGTCCAGTATAATTGTAGTACTCTAACACCACCTGACTCCCCCTTCCATGTATATATCATATATTATATTTTCTATATTGTGCAGTGCACTATATAACTTAATTAGTTGCATCGTATAAAGTTAAGCTTATTGTGCATTGGAATTGCATGCCATGTTAGAGTTAAATTTTCTGTTCTTGGATTAATTGTCCCCCGCCTTTTCGAAGAAAAAAGGGGGATATAGAAATAGGCTCCGTCCGTCTTTCAGTCCGTCCGTCCGTCCGTCACACTTTCGTGTCCGTTCAATAACTTTGTCATTTATGGAAGGAATCTGAAATAACTTGGCACAAATGTTTGTCATAATAAGACGATGTGTCATGCGCAACAACCAGACCCCTACCTCCAGGGTCAAGGTCACACTTGCTCATTCAAGGTCAACATTGTCTATTTGAGGGTATATGTCGTGTCCGGTCCATAACTTTTTTATCTTTGAAGGGATTTTGTAAATACTTGCCACAATTGTTTACAATAATGAGAAGATGTGTCATGCGAAACAACCGGTCACCTACCTCCAAGGTCAAGGTCACACTTGGAGGTCAAAGATTAACATAATCTGTTACAGGGTCAAAGATTAACATAATCTGTTACAGGGTATATTTCCTGTCCGGTCCAATACTTTGTCATTTATTGAAGGAATCTGAAATAACTTGGCACAAATGTTTGTTATAATAAGACGATGTGTCATGCGCAACAACCAGACCCCTACCTCCAGGGTCAAGGTCGCACTTGCTCATTCAAGGTCAACATTGTCTATTTGAGGGTATATCTCGTGTCCAGTCTATAACTTTCTTATCTTTGAAGGATTTTTGTAAATACTTGCCACAATTGTTCACAATAATGAGATGATGTTGTCATGCGCAAAATTGGTCACCAACCTCCAAGGTCAAGGTCACACTTGGAGTCAAAGATTAACATAGTCTGTTATAGGGTATATTTTGTGTCCGGTCGACATAACTTTTTCTTATATCAAAGGATTTTGAAAATACTTGGCAACAAATAGTCACTATAATAAGACAATGTGTCAATGCGCAACACCAGCATCCCTTCCTCAAGGTCAAGGTCACATTTTGAGGTCAAAAGTTAACATAGTCTATTAAAGGGTATATATTGTGTCCAATGTAGAACTTATTCATAGTTCAAGGGATTTTGAAATAACTTGGCACAAATAGTCACAATAATAAGACGATATGTCAAGTTCAACACCTGCACCCCTACCTCCAAGGTCAAGGTGACACTTAGAGGTCAAAATAACAGAGTCTGTTATAGGGTATCATATTTTGTGTCCCATCCATAACTTCTTCATAGATCAAGGGATTTTGAAAATACTTGGCACAAAAAGTCACAATGATAAGATGATATGTCATGCGTAAACCAGTGTCCCTACCTCCAAGGTCAAGGTCACACTTAGAGGTCAAAGCTTAACATGATAGATTTTTAAAAATCAGTGTTTTATTTTATTTCTTTAATAAATTTATTGTTGCATTTGCAAATCTAGCATTGATTTTATGCTTCATATAAAACTTCCCCGAGGCAGGGGAGGTTGGTAACTCTGTTACAAATTCTTGTTATCCTAGTTACAACCAGTGTAAAATGATCATTTTGATTTTATAATCAAGCATTTAAGACATTACTTTATTCATTTTGTTCATCATCACAAATTTAAATTTTAGTCACACTCATATGAAATAACTGGAATTTACAAGACTATTTAATATAAAAGTTATTCATGTATTTACAGGCAAAACAAGCCAAGCAGTTACGTATGTTGGCCTTTGTAAATCCAGGCAGATTTATGGATGATTTTGATCCAGAGAGGAGTGCTAGAGAAATGAAGAAAATGAACAGACGTTTATACAAAGAAAAAAAGTAAAAAAGAAAACCATCATTGTCTTATCATTAGGGATTCTGTTTAAATCTAAGCTCTTAATCTTTACTGTTAGAATAACCTTTCTTTGAATTACGTATTTACCATATTTGGCATTGTCCATTTCTTTGAAAGTGTATTAATGTATTTATCTGCGGCCAGTAGTTAACGACATTGTCTATTGGCTATTTTTATCAGTAGAATTGCGAGTAAAGATAACAGGTTGCATTTGTCACTCAGTATTAATCGTATGTTAAATGGTCTGATTTTGGTAGGTTTAACTGTAAATTAAAAAACCTTTAGTGCAGACTTCCTGAAAGTTAAAAAAAAAAGTGTCAGACATTCGGTCTGACAAACCATGAAAATCTGTCGAAACAAAATGAAATAGGTCAGACCGAATGAAATTAATAAAAATCAAAGGAAAACTTGTGATTGTATTTCTAAGACACTTTTCGGTTTTATTTTTTTTTTGCCGTAAAAAATCGGCACAGTCCGTACAGCGCATTTTCATCTCCTCCCTGTCATACACCTACAATTCACGGTCCTGCTTCCATTTTTCATTAAATTTGTCTCAGGTTTATTCTTTTCATCCTTTTACTGCTGTTCTGCGTGGTACTCTGATGTAGATTTTCGTTTTTTCCCAGGTTTGACACCGTTTAAGAGAAGCCATTTTGTATACATGCGAGTTGAATAAAAGCCTGACAGTCGGACCGATCCGGAATAAAAATTCCTCGGACCTAATCAAAATTTATCGCACATGTCTGTCGGACTGACGTATTTCTGGAAGTCTGTTAGTGTCAAACAATGTGTTGAAATATATACCGAGCTGAAGCTAAGATTACAAGCTTTTCATTGGTGTAGTAAATTTTAAAATCAGACATTAAATGGCCCCAAACTAGCGGTTTAAAAACAGCTGAATTTGCATTGTTTAAGCATAAGAGATATCAATTTTACTCGGAGATAAAGGAAACAACTTGTATTTTTAACTCTATATACCTTGGATATTTATGTAGTTTATATAGGTCTTTAGGGTGTATTCAATAATAACTGCATGAAAGAAATACAATTTAATATTTCCTTAACAACACCTGGCACATACACAAAATCAATGCTAATGCATATGAACATATTTTACAATGTTATTTACCCACATTTAAACATGTAAAGGGGTGACATTTATTACAATGAGAAGCGCATGATTATGTTGTTACAATGAACTATAGAAATAAACAATATTCACATGTATATAACCAAACATAGCATTAATATTTAAGTATAAAAGTAAATGAATCATACCAAAACAAATTATTTATACAAAGATTAAACACAAGTCAGTATTTACAAACATACATTTGTAAACGAACAAAATTCATTGATTTAAGTCATATTCAAGTCTATAAAATGCATAGGAATTTCGGGCATTTTATGTTATACCTCCTCAGCGTCCGTCTGTCCATCCGTCTGTTAGCAATTTGGTTTCCAGAGCATAAGGTATAAGGTCAATGTCACTATTACTTAGAAATTGAAAACAGTTTCCGGAGCATAACTTAAGTTCCATTTGGCCCACAATACAGTCAAACGTGTATTAAGCGACCGGGCAAGGGAAACACCAAAAACGGTCGCTGAATGAAACGGTCTCTTAAGACAGCCAGCATGATGTAAAAGTCAAAATTTATAAATGACATCTTTTTTATTCGATGGGATTGTTTTTCAACTTCATTTTTATAATAAGTACGCTCCGATAATCTAAACGGATGCCAAATGTAAAAATAACGTTCTTGATATTTATTGACAAAATAAGTTTTGATCCATTACGTAGTACATGTTGACATTTTTCCAGAATTTTTTTAACTTCACCGTTGTTTTTCATTGTCTCCCAACACGAAAACCCTATTAGTGAAGATGTTTGCTGTTGTGCATTTTTTCCATTTGAAATAAACAAACTACATCTATTTGTTACGATTAATTTAATGGGCTGATCAAGGTTCAAGGTCAATTCAATGCAGTGTAAATGTCAACAAGCGAAGCGTATACACCATCTCAGTATGGGCGGAGCGTTGCATTGTTTATCCGATATTATGGATAATACACGTTCACGCGTATACTTAACTTCATTTGCAAACGCTAATACGGTATGGGAAATAGAGTTTTCACACGTTTATTGTTTGTGTTTTGATTGCTGACACTTGTGACATAACGAGGTGGCGTTCTCTAAAAACACACAATTACTTGACAGGTAAAAGTGGTCGTTTAATGAAAAGATTGATGTCAATTAGGTGACTAATTAGCGGTCGCTGGTCGCATTGAGCAAAAGTCGCTTAATACATTAAAGATATAGAGAGAAAATGATCGGGGGGAATTTAAAGTGGTCGTTTAAGACAAAAGTCGCTTAATACACGTGGTCGCATGGGCAAGTTAGACTGTATTAAAACTTCATAGGAGGATTGCTATTTGAAGGAGGTAATACATGCACTTTATTTAATTCCCATGTCTTACAAATGCTTCATCTTTACTTTCAGGCATATAATGCTCTGCCTAGCGGTGCTCTTGTTTGTTTAGTCAGTATGTATGTTAAGCTATTTCATTTTGTTTTATTTCAGCATCAGAAAGAACCAATTATATGATGATCATGGACTATTATTGTCAACACAGAATGATTTATGTGATTGTTTAGATGTTGAATGTCCTGGCTGTCATTTCCCCTGTCCAAAATGTTCTTCTGAAAAATGTGGAGGTGACTGTAGATGCAACAGGAAGTGGGTGTATGAATACGTCGAAAGTGAAGGTACAGGGAATACTTACAGTTGGCCGCCTGAAGTAAAATAGTCCTGACTCTTATTTTAGAGCATACAATTGGGGCATCAAATGTGCAATAGTGAACACTTTGGAAAAATTTATGGAACTTCATCATGTTTAGTGACAGATCCAGAAATAAACCAGATCTGCTTATTACTTGTAAATGATGGCTTTCTGAAGTCATTCTTAGATGCAAGTTGACTTTTACAGAGTATTCAGGCATAGTACAAAATTTCAGAGAATGATGAAGTTAATTTTTGTCGTATGAATAAGAGCACTCTGTGAATCTGACACATTGAGGAAATGACATACGTATTTTTTAAAAGTGGAAAAATAGTGAATATGTTTCATGAATAAGACGATTAAATCAATGGAGTTAAGTAGGAAATGAATATTGTTCATGAATGAAAATAAAGTTAAACGGGAAATGAGACAATTTTTTTCATTGAAGTTTAGAATGAAAGGAATATTATTCAGGCAAATTTTATTCAGTGAAGTTAAGAAGGAAATGCTTTACAGTAAAGTTAAGAAGGAAATGAAAATTGTTCAAGAATAAGACAAATTTTGTTCAATGAAGTTAAGAAGGAAATGTATATTTTTCATTAATGAGACAAATTTTGTTCAGTGAAGTATCTTTTAAGAAGTAGATGAATATTGTTCATGTATGATACTATGTGCATCTGTATGTGAAATTATTTTATGTACATACTACAAGTATTGTCTTTTTCAGAGTTATATATCAAAACAAAATAGATTATAGCTAATTTTTTAGCTTGACTATTTTTTTTTAAATAGAGGTATTGTTACAGGCATGTCACGTTGCCGCCCACAAAACTTCTACCTTGATCATAACTTTCTAAGTTCTTGGTGTATTGTCTTCATACTTGGCTACAACAACAATTGAGGACAAAGCCTTTTTGTAGACTTAACTAACCTTGACCTTCATTCATAAATGACCCTCAGTGGAGTTCCTTTTAAAGCTTTTTTTGTGACAAGTTATATGCGCGGTGTTTAAAACAGTTGTTTGCAATATAACCATTGTCTGGTGGTTTTGGTCATATAAGCTTACAGTCATTTATACAGCACCATTAAACCGATTTTTTTTATAAACCATACAGTTCATATATTAATCTCAGCTTATTTGAAATATATTAAGCCAATACTTTATCTTTGAATGCTAAGCCAAAAATTACTATTCACAGACACAGTCGGCACAGCTTTCATAAAAAAGATTGATTCGGTCAATTGTCATTTTGACATCATATTTTAAACATCCCAAGCTTATGAATATTTTATGAAATTTAGTCTGCTGTAGCTTTTTTCATATGTCTTCAAAACTAAATGTGCTGTGTAGACGAGATTTGTTCGTATAATGGCAGGATTTGACTAATGTCTAATGTACCGTCAAAGCATCATTTATAATTTAACATTTCATATTGATAAGATATTAAGAAATATGACAAAGTTAGGAGGATATTAAAGGTTGATAAACAACAGCTAGTTTATTCATTTTCCGTGAATGTTCTAATCTTTTTGGAAAGTAATGAACACTATTATTCTAACATTTTCAGATTATTATAGTGATTTTTTTTTGCTTTTGCCTTTAAATTGCTTCTGTCAGGAAATTGAATAAAGCTACACTTTACACAGTGATAGAAATATTATTTAGACGAAAAGCAGTGTCCAAGAGCCATTATTCTACCTTCAATTACTTATTTTTTAAATTATCTCCCTTTATTTTGATTGTCTGAAAAATAGAGAAAAACAGAATCCCTAAAGAAAGCCCAACACGGCAAAATTTGAAATGTTGCACACTCGGTTTGATTGAGCCTGTTCATGGACGGTACTGGAAAGTGCAAATTACCGCCCATGCCACCTAGCACCGGCTTAAGCAGAATTCAACATTTAAATGGTGAAATTTTGATTTTAGAAACATCTGCAGAATGATGTGTTTATACGGCGGTTATCATTGGAACCTTCAATGTGACACAGTAGTGCCATTCCATGATAAGCGGCGTATGGTCCCCATATAAAAGAATGTGTGTGCCCTAAACGAGAAAACAATGGGCGGCGGAGCCTGCATATCACAGGCAAGACATCAAGACAATTTGAAAAGCAGGTAACATATCCTAAAGGTGATTATACAGTGTTCAAGTAGGAATACTGGAACCAACCAAGTTGAAAAAGGCCAAATAGAAGAAACTATAAATACCACTCGGGAATCAAAAATATAACATATTTGATTAAATGTACGGGGAGATTTTTAACAGCCGCCACACGGCACAAATAACACTGAGTGTGACCATAAAATAGAGAAAGACATAATCCTTAAGAAAGCCCAACACGGTAAAATTTAAAATATTGCAGGCTCGGATTGATTAAGCCGGTTTATGGACGGTACTGGGAAGTGCAACCTACCGTTCACGCCCTCTAGCACCGGCTTAAGCAGAATTCAACATTTAAACACGAAAATGGTGAAATTTTGAATTTAGAAACATCCGCAGATGTGTTTATACGACAGTTATCATGACACAATAGTGCGATTCCAAGTATGACTCCTTAAAAACTATAAAATCTCGACGAAACTTCACACAGTTACACTGTGTTAAAAAGTCAACTTTTCTGAATTATCCCCCTTTGTAAAAGTTAATAATACTTGTCCGGAGAATAATTTGAAGGTATTTGATTTACTTTCAAAAATAATTACTAATAGGTACTGACGTGATAGATAGTTCAGTCTTTGAGAACCATAATGTTCTCTTGCTTAATTTTTGAAATATCTTCTTTTGTATTACTTAAAGATATACAATGTTCAGCCTTGAGTAAAATATTTTAATCACAGAAATTTATTTTTCGAACCCACATGGGTGAGGAGTCAATGGCTCAAAGACAATGACCTTAAATACTCGGCCATGTATACCACTGCTCCCAGGTCATTTGTTCACTAACACATTCCTTCTAGCAGAACAAATTCAGAGATTTATTACCATATGTTATCGAAAAAGAAACAATACAATCTAAGATGCCTATCCATAAAACGTATAAAAACTGATATAATTTGTATTATGTCCTGTCTTACATTATTTTGGCGGTATTTATGTACATTACGTCATTTTATGTACACATGTCATTACCCGGAAGAGCGTTTATTCCTATTATAGCTTTAGTTTTTATGGGAAAATGGCAATGTCTTATCGTTTGGTGGGATTTGCGTCATTAAAATCTGCTCATTAAGCTAATGCCACTGAAGTTAGTTTCTTTTATGGTTTCTGAAAGACAGGGAATGTAAATAATTTCTATAAGCTAAAGCTAGTGACATTAATATATATTTTCTAACAAGATTACTATTGGGAGTAGGTTTTGAGATGCAGTGTTTCAGTCGCATTGACACTGTTACGCTTATATATTGACCTTCAACTTTAACTGGTGGATGCAGATCTCGGACGGCTTTCTGTTAAAAAATATGTGACTTCGTTTTTGAACTGAAAGTAAAATTATTTTTCAGAAAATTTGGGAATTCTTTCTTGTCACAGTGGAACATGTAAACATACCATTTAATTTGTTGAGGTATATCAATCTGTTTGGCAGCTTTACATTATGTGCGCTTTGTTCCTTCCAAGACCCGATGTTTCCTATACAGACTTGTATACTAGGTCCGCAAAATTAAACAAATACGTCCCATATACACGTCCGTATTATTATGTAAATAATACGGGCCATCAGTATAAACATGTTTTATCTGACTGAGACTCGATGCCTCTTAACCTGTCAATGAGTTAAAGTTGACTGCGAATTAGATGCACAGTACATTACACATTTGTCTGATTTTTTACTCCGACACCTGTGGGGTTTTACAAAGAAATCGTTCAGAAATAAAGAGAAAGAACCAATCCTATTAACGACTTATGCCCATGTAACCTTAGCAGTCATAAAGTCTCGTAATGAAAAAATTGCAGCAAGTTCCTTGATTGGGTCTCTTCCCTTACTGAAAGATTATTTTTGATTACACAAACAAATACTGACTCTTGGAGAAATAGAAACAAAACAAAGATTTGTCCTTGACCTAAAGTTTTAAACTCAATAACAACAAGAATTTAATTTCAGGTGTATTATAATTACAATGCATTTATTAACTAACATCTTATACTTTATAACTCGGCATTTGTAAATATTTCACATTTTAAGTTTGATATATCTTGTATAGATATCACAGAACTGGGTAAGACCGTTAGAAAGACCTTTGCTTTAATTTTAACTCCCTTAAATGTTTTTTTTGATGACGATGATACTTTTCAAATGGCAATCTGGTGACCATCACTTTGCCAACTTTTGCACTATTCACGCTATTTATCCGTTATAAAATGACATAAGCTGGTTTTATCAGACAGAATGCCTCCTAAATTATCGTTAAGTTAGCTGTTTACAGTATGAAACTGCGACAAAGACGGGATAATTCCACCTTAATTGTTGTTTATAACCATCATAATCTTGCTGACAAGGAATATCTAAGTGTACTGTACATACATTATATTATGTATTACTTGAATAGGCTTACTTATTGTTATTTAACTTACAAGATTATTCGGATTCATTGGGGAAACTTTTTTGGGGCGAATTTTTTGAAAATAGTTTTTTTTAAAGAAAAGGGGACGAGAAATTTCAAATGTTTTATTTTTGTTTAGGGGATTAAAAAATGCCCCTTTCTCCTTTTGCCCTTGGGCATATACTTAAGTGCAAACTTTTAAATTGAAACATGTATTCCCCCAAGAAAATTACAAATTTGGATTTTACTAACGTAGATTATATACAATGTTATAGTTTTAGCTTTTGGGTTTTGTTTAAAATTGAACAAGTATTTTTTAAAAAATATCGGGAAATTTTTTCCCGTTAATATATTTTGTTTTCTGGATTATTTTCCCTTTTTTTCCTTTTGAAAATTTTACATACAATAGTGAAATTTAAAAAATTTAAATATTTTTGTCAGGTTAATCCGATAAATTTTTCTTTGGCTGTCAACGTTTTCGTTATTGCTTTTTTTTTTGTGAATAAAACCAAAATTTTTTGGATTTGTTTAATTAATAAATTAAAGTGATAAATTATTTTTTACTTAACAGATATTTTGGCCTGCGAATTATAAGGTTTATTTAAAAGAAAAGTTTTTTTTCATTTTTTAAAATGGGCCAAAAACATTAATCTTGCGTTCGGGTAAATTACATCAGTAAGAAAGCTTGTAACAGATGATCCGATTTGACCGTCCACATTTACTAGAACTGTATCTTTTTATCTTAATTATGTAATATATGATAATAGGGCCCGTAAGTCTCGTTTACTTTCACTTTCGATTTACCACTTCCGGGTACATCGGCAGACTTATTTACCGTTACGCATATAGGTAACCCGAAGAACTCGAGGGATATAGAAGTTAAATTTGTTTCGGTCCTCTTCAGATTTGAAGGAGTGGATAGCACGGGTCAAAAAATGCAGGTAGGTCAATTATCTGACGGAAAAACCAGGGATTTATAGAGTTGAATAAAACTAGTTTATTTTCGGATAGTGACAATTGTTTCGGATGTTTTGTCAAGGTAGTGAATTCTAGTTGTTTAACTTTTAGTATTGTTTTAAAACTACTGATGTGAGAAATTAATTCAAACCATTTTAACTTATTGAAATAAACAATGGAGAAACACTTTAATTCTAGTGTATATTAAAGTTATACAAAATTCGGACATTGCACAGTAATTCGGATATTTTTTCCCTTCCATTTTATTCTT